ATGAGGTTCCAATTTAACGTCAAGCACCTTAAACCTACTTCACGCAAATCTTACCTTTTACCACACTTTTTGTAGTTTCCGTGTTCGTCTTTCCCACAGTTCCCGAATGCGTTCCCTGCTGCGTTGACATCTTCGAAGCAGGCATCATGGGCTGGTCGCGCTCCTGGAACAGAAAACCTTCTCCTTAATGTGTCTTGTTTTTTTTAACCCTACGATGCCCAGCCAACATGCGTTCTTCATACAAAGAAAAGCAGGAAGTGATTTTTTTCTTACCGTAGCCCCAGAGCTGCAGGCACTGCTGTTCATGGGTTAGGCACATGCCGTTGTAGCAGTAGGCTTTTCCGTACTGGCAGGAGGAGCCGTCCAGCAGGTAGACGTTGGCGGGACAGTAGGGAGAGGCCCCGGTACAGTACTCTGGCAGGTCACATGACCCTGCCGGCCCTCTGCACATGGTGCCAGCTTGCTTCAGCTGGCAACGAAGGGAAGAGACCAGCAAACGACAGATTAATTTGATAAATCAATTAAAAATAGAGGAAAGCTTAATTAATATATATATATTTATTAATCTGAACTCAGTCGATGTTTTACAGACAAAAGTGGACAATTCCTTTCCATTTCACCCCAACTAAGATTTTTAAACTAAACCTTAAAGGCATCTCAAAAAAGTTTTTAAAAAATCAATCCACTGGACTTTGCTTCCAAGTTTGAAGACGTTTCTCTTCCATCCAGGAAGCTTTTTCAATTCAAAATGTCAGAAATAGCGTTTAGTTCCAGGTTTTATCCAGCAGACCAACAAAGACTTTGCTTAGAAAACATGCAAATAGAAACGGATGAACGGTTCAACTAATGCTAATGCTAATATATGGGTTAGAATGAATACTTGTGTTCAAATATGCTAACAAAGATATTAGCAAAATATTTAGCATATTTGCTAATATATCAATTTATAGTAACCCAAATAAAAAAAATACAAATACCATTTCATGATTATCAAAATATTCTTTATATTTGCTAATATTTTGCACATTTGCTCATGCTAATTATCGTTAGCTAATGTATAGAAAGCTTAGACTAGCAATAGGGACGGTGCTGATTCAAATATTAGGAAATACACCATCCCAAATATCATCAAAGCATTTTTATATTTGCTAATATATGGCATGTTTGTAAATTCTTGTTACCTTAAAAATATATGCGCAAAAATGCAAAACGTTTCATTAGCGTTAGCAGAGTTTGACTTTGCTGTATAGAAGGAAAGCAATTTTTTTTTTTATACCAGAAAAGTTAAAAATCAATCCACTGGACTTTGTTTCCAAGTCTGAAGACGTTTCTCTTCCATCCAGGAAGCTTTTTTAATTCAAAATGTCAGAAATAGCGTTTAGTTCCAGGTTTTATCCAGCAGCCCAACAAAGTCTGGTTTTAGTTTAGAAAACATGCAAATAGAAACGGATGAACGGTTCAACTAATGCTAATGCTAATATATGG